ATTTTTTTTTTTTGCTACATTTAAAAAAAAATTGGATATGTTGTTAAAAGAGATATCACTGATTATAAAAAGTATGTGCTACAAATTTTCTTCGAACTAGAACTTCATTTAGTGCTAGTTGCAACTTCAACTTCAATTTGTATTCACAAACAACGTAGTCGAAATTTTAACTACGACTAAATCAAGTCCTAGTTTTAGTTCAACTGAAGACGACTGGCAAGCCACGACTATCAAACTAACCGAAAAGGGCTAACTATTTTAGAGATCCGGTAACGCGGATGAATATTAAGCTGCCGTCTGTGGTTCAAAAATATATTTCCCCATAATTCATAATAGACCATTATTCGTTTAATTAATTTTCTATAATAGTAATTATATTAGTTGTTAACATATTACAATAGAGAATTTGAACAGTCACTTAACATTTGCTTTCTTTAGAGAAACTATTATAGTTGAGCCCGAGCGAGGGCGGCGCCATTTTTGTTGTTGTTATGATGAAGCTAGGTGGTCGCAAAGCGAGGGGATTTCGTGCAAATCAGGAGCTATCGCATGTGACTAGCAAAACATGTTAATTTCTCCTTTAGGAAGCTAAACTTGATGTCTCTTTTGTTAAACACGCCGAAGATATATCAAACCTGAGTATACAATCGTTTTTATTCGTTTCACTTTATTGTGAGTTACAAAAACACGTTTTTAGTGGGGTCAGCCCTAGGCTGACTAAAAAAATCAGCCTGCGTAGGTATCATTTTAGTCGAGGTTCGCGTCATTTAGTCGTAGTGCTAGTCGTAATCATATTAAATGGGCATACACTTCAGGTCAAGGTGAATGTCAGGTACTTTAATTTTCCGTTCGCGCGTCTTAACGTGCGCGTACATATGCGTCAACAATTATACATGCTTAAAATTATGCCTATTTTTAATCAGTTATAGCTCCTTAAGATGAAAGGTAACACTAAATTTTATTACATATTCTGAAAACACACGAGTTGTAGATATGATTTTATAGATCATTATGGCTGATCGGACATTTTGACGTCATTATATTGCTATCTGAATTTTAAAAAACTGAAATTTATTTATGATGTCATTATTTTTCTACTCATTTGAACGCATTTTTCTTATTCTTGATCGATTGTCTTTCACCTGTGAGTATGTTATAACTGAGACAATTCTCTTTCGGAAGTGCCCCTTTATTTTTCATTTTTGATAACATCATCATGGTAAAAAAAATATTTTTTGGAATCATCTCATCTTTTTTATTTAAAAGATGTAAAGAAAATTCAAAACAGAGGGCGGCAGACTGTATTTCGACGCTATCAGACTGATACATAATTCATATGAAGGGAAACTTCGTGTGGCATTACCAACCAACAGGATGTTTTAAATTATTTCGTGTGCCATTACCGTCCTCGGGCACGTTGTAAGGTACTCGTACTTGTGCGTTAAAATTTGAAAATTGTCAATATCACTTCAGATAATTTAAAGCACGTTTCAGGTCATTTTCAGTATTCCGCCGTACGCTCATTTCCACGCGCATAGCACGTACTGAGGCTGGAAATTACGTTTTGTTACATATTTTGGGTTTGTGACACCGTATTCATATCACGGACGTCAAGATGTACGTGTACACATGTGTAAATCTTTTAAAATGCTCAAAATTAATCTTTTTAAAAACAAATTAGAGCATATTTTAGCATATAATACTTTTCAATCAGCACCACGCGCGCTTGTTGATGGTCAAAGTACGGCGGATCGCCAAACTCGTCCTCAGTGACGAGTTCAAATCTAGTTAATTAGTTGGAATTATTCCGAAAAAGTGGCATTTGTGGCAAAAAAAAAAACTTAACGGCACTTTCATTATGGTTCAATGGCTAACCACAGACGGTCTTGTACGACGTTGTACGACGCACTGAGTGCCCGAATTACAGATACATAAAACCTACAAAAAGTCTAAATATACCTAATATGACATGGTCCATTTCTTTGTCAACAACCATCATTATGTATACAATACAAATTCAAAGATACATTACCAGGAGTAGAAATAGCAAAATCTCCCATTCAAGCTCTTGGCTTTTATTTTTCATATAACTCTAAGCTGTGTGAAAATTTAAAAATAAACTGGGGGATTTGCAAAAATGCTTAAATGTATGGAAAACACGAAATCTGACACTAATTGGAAAGATCCAAATTATAAAAAGTTTTGCACTTTCAAAATTAATTTATGTGGTCTCAATTTCACCAGTCCCTACTAGTTTAATTAAACAAATTGAAGACATATTATTTAATTTTATTTGGAATGGAAAAAAAAGGTTATATAAAAATATGGTTGATGTTGAATAAATCAATGTTTAAATCTTTGAGACTTAGGTGGATACAAAGACTTTTAAATGATGAAAAGTCAAGATGGAAAGAATTTTTTAAATATTACACAAAACATTTTTTTTTTTGTAAATATGAATCAAAATATCTTCATCCAAACAATGAAATTCCTCTTTTTTATAAAGAAATATAATGTTACCTAAGTGAAGTGGATAAATTTACTCATGAAGGATATTGTATAAGTAGGTTCATTGTTTGGAATAACCAGAATATTAAAATTAACAGTAAAACTCTTTTTATTAGATCTTTGTATGAATGTGGTATGGTGTATATTCAAGATTTATACAATGAGGAAGGGCAATTGCATAATTTTGATGTATGGATAAAAAAGTGGTCAACAAATCTCTAAACCTAAATTGGTGTTTTCTAATATCAGCAATTCCAAATCAATTAAAAATGGATGCTTCTACAAAATAGGAAAACACATGAGACAAAACGAAACAATGAATTTATGCTTTAATTAGATTATTCCATTTAAAGGCATTAAAACTAAACAGATTTACATTTTTATTTTTTTTATTTTTTTTTTTTTTGAATAATAAAAATGTTAAAACTACTTCTGAGATTTTTTGGAATTCAAAATATAACTTCAATCAAGATGACTGAGAGCGAATATATAAACTACCATTTATGATACAGCATGATATAAAAAGTAGAGTTTTTCAGTATAAGATAAATATGAACGTTCTGATCACAAACCAAAAATTAACACAAATGAAGTTAGAAGAAAAGGAATTATGTACTTTCTGTATAAAAAGAAAAGGAAACAATTGACTTATTTGTAGATTGTACTTGTATAAATAATTTCTGGCAAGAAATTTATCTCTATGGTAAGACAGTAAACACAAAATAGAAAGTCAAAAAATAAAAACAATTCCAAAAAAGGAAGAATTAATATTTGAATTGAATAATATTAATTATAATTTGTAGCAAAATTGCTTTATCTGGGCAAAACAAAGCATTTATAAATGTAGATACCTGGTAATATTACCATCTATGACCTTTTTATAAGGGGAACTAAACAAGATTTATATAATGGAAAAGGGCATTGCTTATAGAACAAATATATTGGAAAAATTTGAGGAGAAATGAAATATATTAAATTATTATGATTAAAAAATTACAAAAATATAATTATAACTAAAGGATTATACAAGAAATTGTGTGTGTTGTTTTTCTCCTTTTCTTTTCTATAAAAAAAAATTGAAGTAAAACATTTTGATTATCATTTTTTTAGCTCATTGAGAAATTGAGAAAATGAAATATGCCTTTTAGAAATGTATTTTTTTTTTCTTTTTTCTGAAGTGGTTTGTTTGCTTTGTAATGTACTTGTATGTTTTATGTTATGATATAAATAATTTAAAAAAAATATGTATACAATAATATATACACTTATTTACGTTTAAATTTTCCTAATTGAGAGCGGGATTGTAACTTTAAAGGTCTTCCAAAGACGGAAAGATGGAACCATCAACTTCTATAAAGATTGGTCAGAATACAAATTCGGATTTGGGAATGTCGATAGCGAGCATTGGCTTGGTAATGAGAAAATCCATCGGCTTTCGTCTGCAGGTAACTACGAATTAAGAGTTGACATGTCATCTTTCGAAGGGGAATCTAAGTACGCCCACTACGACAACTTTCGACTTGCTGACGAACAGAACAATTACAAACTGGTAATTGGTAATTACAGTGGCGATGCAGGTAGGTCTATAGTGAGATAATAAAAATATAACAGAAAATATATTCAATTTTTTAAATTTTATTCATTAAAGTATGCGTGTTATTTTACTACTCATTTTGTTTTTATGTATGGTATTTAAAATCATAAGTTTTGCTTATTTGGTGCTTTTAGCGTAAAAAAATAAAACAAGCAAAATGAACTGTATTAAGAGACATAGATATAATTTATATATGATATATGTATGTATATATTTATTATCAGCGTATTTAAGCCATTTTTTTTTGTTCCGATATGTAGGCGACTCTCTTGGATATTATCATCGTAATTGTCAATTTTCAACTTATGATAGAGATCATGATTTGGTCTCCTATATGTGTGCGGTGAAATTCAAAGGAGCATGGTGGTACAATGATTGTCATGAGTCGAACTTGAACGGCTTGTACATGAAGGGTGTCACCGACGAGTACGCTACTGGAGTCGTGTGGAATGCTTGGAAAGGTTTTTACTATTCATTGAAAACAACTGAGATGAAAATTCGTAGATTTTAACTTTAGATGTATTTGTTCAACAAAAAATTTTTATCAAATATCTATTCCATAAATTGTATTTCGACATACAACCTATATTGATAAATAGGCCTATCAATAATCAGCAAGGATCATATAATTTATGCTTTATGTAATCTTTTATGAAACTTTTCTAGAATACTTCAGTATAGAAAAGCATCAAGCTCTATCAGTGGTGTAACACCAATGTGCTCTATATGGGTTCCTCGATCTAGCACTGTTACGTTTGACTTACATAACGTTTCGCACTAGATTATTTGGAGATAAATTAATACATTTAATAGCGCCCTCAATAATAAAGCACGCGAGTCGGATTTAAATATTCAGGTGCGATTGCGATTCTTCAATTCATTCAATGCTGCGTGTACAAATTTATACTAACTTGCCATTTCACGAGTGACGGACGTGGTCTGATAGGTGCAGACCTATCAGAAATTGTGTTAGGTGGAAGCCTGCACGTCTTGCAGGATTATCATATGTTTAATAAAAGAAACCAGTGTGCCATAGTTTGATAGGTGTAAAGCCTGCGCGTCTTGCAGGCCTATCATGTTAAATTGTATAGTACAGTTTTGGCGAATAAGACTGGTGTTTCGTCGTTCTGTCGTGGTTGCCACAAAAATGTTAAATGACGTGGTTCATGTGTGTGTGACCCAAAGTTACTATCAGACGTCATAATAATAATAACAAGTTACTATCAAAAACCTGAGTTTATTGTTTCAGTGAGTTTATAAAATATATCAAATGCAAAATACGAATATATGATAATGTTAGTTACAATGAAAGTCATGGATATATGCACATTTAAGAAATGCGTTGTTAAATGTTTCAAATGTCGTTCAGGTGGTAACATAAATATAGGCCTATGCAAAGTAACAATGTTTTATGAAAGGTTTTATAATGTCCAAATATCAAAACAGATACTATTATCGTGAAGCTTTCATATATATACATATTGGTCAAATTATCAATGTTAATGAATTAGTTTCAATTTTAAGTTTTTGTATATTTAAATGTAAAGTGATGTATAGACTAAATCTAGGGAAGAAATGTCCTTGGGCAATGTTCACATCCGAGTTTAAAAGTCTTACCACTTGTGAGTTTTTCACAAACAAAGAAAAAGCCAAAAAAAAAGTGGTCAAACTTTAACTTTCAGAAATGTAATTTTTGTTTACTTCTTTATAAATATAAATTTATGTGTAAAAATAGTAAAAGTTACAAAAAAAAAAACACACAAGGAACTCAAAATTGTATAATGTATTGTAAAAAGGGCTTCTACAACCCGAGTGTCATTTTGTACAAATTTTTGTATTTGTGTTAAATGAAAAAGTATTGAAATAAAAGTGGGTGATTCGCACAAAAGAGGGAAAAAATATTATTGTTAATTAATGCATTTTATGATAAAAGTTGATAATGATGACTATGTTAATGATATCATCATACAATGTTTCGATGTTGAATTGCAACGTTACTGTGCTGTTTGTTTTTTTCTGTTGATTTGGTTATTGCTCAGTGAAACACTTAATTGCTGTAATTGTGATTGTTTGGTCAATGGTTGTGCTGATAGGACTATTATTATACAAGGTGAAGGAGCAACTACGTGTTGGCGCTGATTCGTGTGTTGCGACTCTTATTATTTGTCAGTATGATACAAGCACTGCAAAAGTAAGATGATTTCAATGAGATTTGAAATTGGAGCACTTCTCTAAATAAGCCTAATACTTTGTGACAGTCGCGTATTTATATCTGGTTGTTTAAATATAAGTTCGTATAGACACAGCTATTATCAAATATAAACCTAAATATAAATTATGTTTAATATGGTCATTTTGTAGATTATCTGCACACGTTATATTGCATGTTGTTGAAAGTGAAATTTATATTATGTGGAAAATATAAGAAAATCTAAAAAACGTAAATTGTGTTATATACCACAGTCACCATGTCAACGAATGAAAACGAGTGTTGGTATATACCGTTTGTTGATTTGAAATTAAACATATAAAGAAATTACAATCAAGTTGTCTTGGTTCATTGTTGAGGTCTAGTATCTGAGAATAGAATCTAATTACCTTGAACTTGGGCGCTAACTTAATTTAATATCTAAAAGAAAGTTCGCAAGCACCCTGACCTAAAAGAGATCTGTTGATAGTGTCTCTGGCATTGACTGTAGGACACATATCATAATATCAAGTGGCGGATTAAGGGGAAGCCGGCCCGTCCTTTCCCCAACTAAATTCCTGGTTAAAAACATTTAGAATACAATGACAAGCATGATTAAAAGATTAGCACGTCTAAAATACCACATTGGAATTGGCAAATAGTTTGTTTTTATTTTTAAAGCGGTTTCATGATGCAAGGCTCGAGTAGTACTGTATATGCCAGCATTATGATGAAGAGTATAGGGTTAAACACAACAGACTCGAATCCCCATTTATATAATAAAAATATCACAACTCATACCACTGACTGTAGTCTAGCCTAAAATATATGTTTGCAATGAATAATGATTAGGCTAAATAACTATATGTATAGACATTTTTAGTAATTTACTGTCATTCACGAGTACATCTATACTCTCGACGAACATAAAAAAAAAACCTTGTACTTCTAACTGCACAACAGTTTATGGTACAGTAATATAATACTTATCATGACAATAATTAGATAATGGTGACGATAAATACTGTCTCTTATACACATCTAGATGTGTATAAGAGACAGCTATAACATTGTGTATTCAATGCATTTGTTTGTCGCGTGCACATATATATGTCCAAATATTAAAAGTACCCGAAAACCAAGATGGCGTCCAAAATGGCTGCCATTTTAAAATGTTATCATAATTTGCAACCAGACAAGTTACAAGCACAAATGAAGTCGTATGATTTCATGTACAGGAATAGAATCAAACCATTATATTTAGGGTCTAATTTTTATAAGTACCCAAAACCAATATGGCTGCAAAAAAAGGCCGCCATTTTGAAATGTTATCATACCATTGTAACCCGGTTAGAACCCAAAGATTTGGAAACCCAATTGAAGTTTTTAAACATATTTTAAGGTAGAAGGAATACAATAAAATCATTATCTAGAAGGTCCAAATCTTATACAGTTAGTAACACAAAACTAGGATAGTGTCCAAAGTCCGCCATTCACAAAATTTATTTTAGCAACCAGACAATTTGGAAGTTTAAAACAAGTTTTATACAATAAAATCAATATATATGAAGGTCTAAATCTTATAAATACCAGATTGCATCTATAAATGGCTGCCGTTGTCGAACTTTACCATAATTTTACAAAACTAAATGTTGGAAGCAGAAGGTACCTTGGGTACCAACATGTGAAGTTGTGAACAATAGGTTAAAATCATTAAATTTAACGTCATATCGTATAGGTACTACAACACTACTACAAGAGAAGTGCAAAAGGTCTGTCATACATTTTTAATGTACTGTACGTTTGCAAGCAAGCATGTTGGAATGTAAGGTATCTAAACATGTGTTTTATTTCAAAAATAATTTCCAACTCCTCAGTATCCATAACTCAGTGTCGGTTTTGGTGTTTTTTAAACACTTTTGGGTGTTGTTGAAATAAATACTAAGATGATATTCAAAATTTGCCCTGTTCACTAGACAATATAGATATGCAAATACGAATCATTACATTCATCATCTGTTACATTATTTTCAGCACTGTTATCCACTGTTGGAACAATATCATTGTACCATTATTGACATATGTTGGTAAAATCAGTGGTGTTTGACTACAATATCTATTGCGCATTTAGGTGGAAAAGAGTACAAGGTTCTTGCAACTACATGTGATGTTGCTAAACCATCTTCCTTGCACCTACATGACACCATGTTTAGAAAAGTGTCAGGTACAACATGATGTCTTCTATTGATCCAACCAATAGTGAAGTGTGAAAGTCGGTTCAAATGATGACTTTGCTACACCAGTAGTTGGCGGCAGATTTTTCAAATCCTGTCGATGCGGCGGTTCCAATTTTCTGGCTCCATAAAGTTTCACAATACAAGTTTCTCCAGCTCTTTTCACCATCTCTTTGGGTGCTTTCGTCAAATTATACACCCAAATTTATGCTTGGCCTTATGACAGACAACAGACACAGTGTCACATCCTGTCACAGCATGTAGAAACATTAAGTTTGCCTTTTAAGTGTTGGATTTCGAACATTTATTAGTTCAAGGATTGCTACATTATTTTATGGTTTCCAATCCTTTAATATGAAGAATAGACAAATAACGAAATAGAAGTTCTTCTGTCTGTGAGATAACACGGTTGGAACATAGAATAATCTACATTTCTTTTATCACTTCGATTAATATATTAACCTTGGAAAATGGGCTGGAGGACTAGGGTGCCATAAACCCCACCCCTGTCGGAGAAACCTAGCGTGGTGAGGGAAAGATAAGTTTGTCTTAGTAAATGTTTGATATAAAATAATAAAATTTGGTTTAATTACGTGATTCTTTTAGGATTTGATAGGAATCCATGCAAATTAAGTCTGTCGAACTCGCCCATTAGCTCCCCTATAAAGCTTGGTTTCTATACAATCGCTACTCAGCAGTCGCTACAGCGTTTTTACTGCAATCCTTTCACTGAGTAGTTGTCCCCGATATAAATCAGTAATGTTCCTTGATTCAACTGACCAATCAGCGTCGCCAATAAAGTTGGCGATAGCGTGCAGCGATTTTTTATGGAAACTATGCTTTAGGAGTACTAACCCCCTGTCGGGGCTACCAGCCTAACCCCCACACCCTAATCGGGGAAAAATAAAATTTGTCGGAGAATTTTGTTATTAAAAAATAATACAATTTTGTGTTAATTATGGGATTCTTTATTTAAAATAGAAATTTGATTAAAAAAAATACAAACAAAACAAACAAACAAAAAACATGTAAGTTAAGAGTCTCTCGGACGGGGTACTAACTCCGTCGGAGGTACCATCCCCTGTCATGGAAAAGCTGGCACCACCACTTCAACCTACAAGATCGCATTAGTATACAACACCTCGCACATACGGTAGTACTTCTCGTACTAAACTAAAGTTTTTATTCCCTCAAATTTGACAGATTAGAGAAATGCTTGATTTGTACTTTCGGCGCTCAAGATTTGATTTTCCCCGACGACCTTGCTGGAAATTCCTAGACGAGTGGTCCAGAATTCCATGACAGTTGTCATTTGTCCCGTCAGACCCCCCCCCCCTCCACAGCGCTGCCCCTGACAGTATTGTATCTCTACCAGATTTTGTACATCATCTTATAGTTACTGGTAATTTTTGGAAATTCAAAACGAGTTTTTGTGCAATAAACTTATATTTAGATACATTATTTTTACTTCTTAACCTGCTTGGTTGCGAATTTACAGAAATTCAAATTTTGTAGTGTTTGTAAGATTTGGACACTTATGAGATTCGGAACTTCAAGATAATGCTTTTATTGTATTCCTAGTACCTTAAAACATATGTTTAAACACTTCATTTCTGCTTGCAAGCCGTCTGGGTGCAAATGTATAAAATTTAAAAATGGACGCCATCTTGGTTTTGGGCTACTTATAAGATTAGGACACTTTATTTGTGCTTCCAACTTGTCTGGTTACAAAGTTATGATAACATTTTAAAATGGCAGCTGTTTTGGAAGCCATCTTGGTTTTCGGATACTTTTAAAATTTGGACACTCGAGATAATGGTCTTATTGTATTCCTTGTACCTTAAAACATGTAATTAGACACTTCATTTGTGCTTCCAACTTAATTGGTTGCAATAATATGATAACATTTTAAAATGGCGGCCATTTTGAACGCCATCTTGGTTTTTGTGTACTTTCGGCGCTCAAGATTTGATTTTCCCCGACGACCTTGCTGGAAATTCCTAGACGAGTGGTCCAGAATTCCATGACAGTTGTCATTTGTCCCGTCAGACCCCCACCCCTCCACAGCGCTGCCCCTGACAGTATTGTATCTCTACCAGATTTTGTACATCATCTTAGAGTTATTGTATTCCTTGTACCTTACAATATGTAATTAGACACTTCATTTGTGCTTCCAACTTAATTGGTTGCAATAATATGATAACATTTTAAAATGGCGGCCATTTTGAACGCCATCTTGGTAATTGTGTACTTATAAGATTTGAACCCACTAGGTAACGGTTTTATTGTATTCCTTCTACATTAAGACATATATTTAGACACTTTATTTGTTCTTTCAACTTGTTTGGCTGCAAAGATATGATAAAATCATAGAGATTGATTGATTGATTCATTTATTGTCTCAAATTCTCTGCTATCCATCGTTTCCCTGTTCTCTGATCCTCACTTCCTTCTGAACTAAAAGATTCTGCAGTCCTTTGTTCTCTCTCGGTTTTCTTAAGGCAAGTTAAACAATTTTTTCTCGACGCTTAAATTTTTTATCGTTCTTTTATGAAATTTTATCTATTATTCAATTGTGTGCGAAATCTGTGTTTTTTTTTTATTATTATTTTAATTGTCTTGGCCTTTCACTTTTTACATTAAAAACATTTCTTTTTATATACTCGCTAATAATGTAGTTAAGTTTTGTTTTCTGGGGCTCCAGACTTTTGTCAAGGTGATTTTGTTGCTTTTGGGACCCCAAGACACTTGTCTGAATAAATAAATGAAATGAAATGATATAATAAGAATACTAGAGCGCTAACTGCAATGTATTCGATGTTCGAAATACGCAGAGCTGTATGTGTGTACCATCCCAGATGGCTGCCATAGATTTAGCCAATCAAATTTCGCCTAAGCACCATCATTTGCAATTGCGCCCTCAATTTACACAGAAATTTCAGTACAGTTAGTTACCCGTATGTTAGAAACTCGAGAGTTGCAGTGTATGGGTGTAATGTACACGGTTTCAATTCTTTTTAATATTTGAATAAGATGCTCTACTTGGCCTCTTTTTGGCTACGACAGTTTAATAATTTGTTATTACCATAACTTATTATCATTAATGAAATAATAGTCAGTCAGAGGGCTTATTTATGGTAATAGTATGTATACTAAGCCTGAAGGTGGCGCTTTACTACGACGGTCATCTTGGATTTTACACATACATAACTCTGCATTGCTTCGCCATCTTGTCAGCACTCTAGTTGTTTAATAGCTCTATGGATAAAATATAAAATTGGCGGCTATTTTAGACACCATCTTGGGAAAGCTCCAGTAAGATTTTCCAAGACTTTTAGTATGTTATTCCATTCATGATTCTAGACTTATCCTGAAAGATTTAGCTTGTTATGAAAAATTTTCAGATTAAACACTAATGATTTTGGACTAAGAGTGTACAAACGTCAACGTACTCTGCCTCTTCTACCATTCTCTCCGCTCTCCTAATCGCTATATTGTAATTTCTGTGTGTGAGGGTGCTAAACTACGTAAACACCAGTGAAGGCTTTTACACTCTCTTGAAATCTAAAAATATATTAATATACCCCTTGGTAGAAGCTGTGAGGAAGCGTTTACCTAATGATGGGTCATGTTGTTGTTGTTGTTGTTGTTGTTGTTGTCGTTGTTGTTGTTGTCGTTGTCGTTGTCGTTGTTGTTGTTGTTATTTTTATTATTGTTATTATTATTATTATTATTATTATTATTTTTATTATTAATAATAATAATAGAATACATTTCATACTATAAATGCTCGTTAGAGGTGTACTAAACGCTCTGAAGCCGAATGATATTGATTAAAATGAAACGTTTTTTAAGTCACTTATTCTGAAATTAAAAAAATGTGTCTTACTTTGCAGTGGGTGTCTAAGAGTGTTGACATTTAGAATGGGAAAGGGCTGATCGGTCTTAATGTCGGGGAGAAGAAGAATTGGGAGAGGGGGATGCGGAATAATTGTGGGAGCTGGATGAAAGTAAAGTGGGTGCTAATGTTTAGTGACAGGCCTTTATATGTGTGGTAACCCCCATACATCTAAGGATAAAAAAAATCTTGGAAGTTATTACTTGCTAGAGAGCAACAGCGCCTTCCCATTGAACATGTAAAGACTGTGCTCCCTCTTTAGCCAATGAACAAAAGGAACATATCAATAAATTGAGACGGAACCTAAGACGTGTGCCACGCATCCGGATCTAGACTGGATTCCAGTCCCTAAAATTTGTCTTAGTCTGTGAAAACTATTTAAAAATAAGTCCATTTTGGCACCAATGGCGTTTGAAATTATTCTTTGTACTAATGGCGTTCCATAATATACTTTTCTGACTTTAATTCCCCGATTACCAAATTCGACAACATAAAAAGTTGCTAGCAAAAGACGATGGTGGCGCTCTCCGAAAGTGTCTACTGTAACATTAGAAAAATTCAATAAAATTAGAGACTTGTGGCAATACGGGTAATATCTCGATATTTACGTCGATGCAGTCAATCTATACAAGTATTGATGTTCCAGTGTTCATAGGCTAAAAAGGGGGCGCATTCTTAAAATGTTCTATGGGACGGCGCTACTGTTGCTCTCTCTAGCAAGTATTAACTTTCTGGAGTTTTGGCTCGTAAGAGCAGCAGCTGCTGTATGTATGAGGTGACTTTAAGCGGAGAATCGTGTAATGTTGATCCTCTCAAAATCCACCGACAATCGTGGGGTGGGGGGGCAGACGGCGTTAAGTCTGTTTTCCAATAGGCAAATGTGTTCGCGCGAATCGAAGGCGTCGGTTCATGCACATAATAATAATAATAATAATAAGGTAAGAACTTATATAGCGCCATTTAAAAAACCGCGCATTTACATTTCTGTCTGAGTTTTTCGCTTCTTCTGAAGCAAAATCAGTAGTTCGAAATGTTTCTACTTTTTTCAAAACGAACAAAATGCACATTCACGTTTCTATCAGAGTTTTCGCTTCAGGTGGTTCGAACTTTTCTACTTTTTGGGAAGCGAAAAAAATGCGCAACAAATCAGAGCTCAGAAAGCCAACCGACGCTTTCCATTCTCGCGAATAAATTAGCCTAGTGGAAAACCGGCTTTAAGGTGTCAAGTGCTCACAGCTAAACTGGTACGGTCGAATGAGCATCGTATAGACTCAGTATATGCCGGCCGTAGTTACGCGTATGTCAATTACGCACAACAGGGGAGTGCGTAGACGCCGCTCAGTATATTTGGATGTATTTGGTGGTTTTGGATGCTGGATCCATGATGTGATATCAAGTATCCAAGGGCTAGACTGTGACGATGTACCTTGAGAGAAGTTACTGCCAGCCAAAACTTCATGCTGACCTCCACGCGGTCGCCACTGGTAACTGGAATCTTTCCCAGGCCAACAGCATTGAGGATCTATGGGATGGAAAACCCAGACAGAAAACCCAGAGAGGTGACAATCTGTGAGGGCACCTGAACAGTAAACTTTGCTGTTCTTCTGGCCGTTCACTGCGACTACTGAACTACTGAGCTCGTCTCGGTTAATCCTTGCCAGCTCAGCCTACTTCAAGAGTGGAGAGGGGTATATTGGCAACTGACAAAACCCAGTGTATCCTTAAATTACTTTGTCAGCTTACCCAATGAACCATGAAGTCTCATATTACGAAGAAACCATACTGGCAGGACGTCGCCCAGGATAAAAAGGTCCAGACTTCATATAAATTTCAGTTCGCGTCTTGGAATATTAGAACAATGCTAGATAGACAACACTCTGGACGACCAGAGAGAAGAAGTGCAATAATATCACATGAGCTGTGCAAATACAACATTGACATTGTAGCACTGAGTGAAGTGAGACTTCCTGAGACTGGTTACATCAGGGAAGAAGCTGGCTACACCATATACTGGAGTGGTAAAACGACGGGACAACGTAGTGAATCTGGTGTGGCTCTTGCTATTAGAAATGATCTTGTTCCTAAACTAAACTAGGGGAACCTAAGCTGGTGAATGACAGGATAATTACACTTAGATTGCCTTTATCTGATGAACGTTACCGCACCCTTATAGCCGTTTATGCACCAACAATGACTAACAGTACTGAAAACATCAATCAATTCTATCAACAACTGGACAGCACACTCCGGACTATTTCACCATCTGATAAGATTATGCTCATGGGTGATTTTAACGCTAGAGTTGGTCAGGACTACATCACCTGGCCCAAAGTTCTTGAAAAGTATGGCTGTGGGAAGCTGAACTCCAATGGTGAATTTCTTCTTACACTCTGCACAGAACACCAACTTGCCATCACTAATACATTCTTTAACCACAAACCAGCACATAAAAACTCATGGATGCACTCGAGAAGCAAACACTGGCACCTTATTGATTACATCATCATCCTTCAGCGTGATCTGGTTGACATCTTAGACACTAGAGCAATGAGAGGAGCCAACTGCAGCACTGACCACATCATGATCAGATCAATCACTAAATTTAAAGTAAGAAGAAAGATGATGAAAGGCAGAAAATCGAACTACAAACTTAATATCAGCAGAATTAAGAACAGACAAGTGCAAGAAAAGCTAGAGAAGACACTCACAGAAAGGCTTGATACCATACCACCAGGTGATGCAGAGAACAAATGGCAGGCATTCAAAGAGGTGGTGTGCAATGCATCTGAAGAACACCTTGGCATTGCAACCAAAAAACAGGAGGACTGGTTTGATGAGAACAGTGCGGAACTTGTTCAACTGCTGGATGCCAGGAATCAAGCCAGAACCAACATGCTCAACAGGAACACCCGATCTAATAAGGCTAAATTCAAAACTCACAGTAAACTCCTACAAAATCGATGCTGAAAACTGAAGAATGAATGGTGGATGGCCAAAGCTGCAGAGCTTCAAGTTCTTGCTGACACCAATGACATCAGAGGCTTCTACCAAAGAATGAATGCGGTCTGGGGCCCTCGTGTGAGTCACTCTAATCAATTGCTTGCCATTGACAACACAACGCTGCTCACAGAGAAACAAGATCTTCTCACCAGATGGACCGAACACTTCAGAGCACTGCTAAACGAGATACCCAACATCAACCCAAATGTGACGGAAAGTATGGAGCAATCCCCTACACAAAACTGGATGGATAATTACCCTGACTTAGATGAAGTTATGGAGGCAGTAGAGATGCTGCGTGAAGGTAAATCACCTGGCTCAGATGGAATCCATCCTGAAATCATTAAGAGAGGAGGTACCACACTGCTAAATTCTCTTCATGACATCGTCAGGGAGGTCTGGAAAAATGCTGAGGTCCCACAGGATTGGAAGGACGCTCAGCTAGTGACTATCTTCAAAAAAGGAGACCGTCAAATGTGTGGCAACTACCGAGGAATATCACTGTTATTGATACCTGGTAAGGTCTTTGCACGCATTTTGCTTAACAGACTCTCCTCTTATGCTGAAAACTTTCTACCTGAGTGTGGATTCAGAAGTGGGATAGGAACAGTGGATATGATCTTCGCTCTCAAACAGATTCAGGAGAAATGTGTAGAGCAAAATATGCCACTCTATATGATCTTCGTTGACTTTACCAAAGCGTTCGATACAGTGGATAGGACAACTTTGTGGAAAATTCTCTTGAAAATAGGCTGCCCCACTCACTTTACCAACCTTATTAGTGCATTACACACGGGTATGAAGGCCTCGGTAAGACTAAAGGGAGAGCTTTCCGATCATTTTGAGGTCAATAACGGTGTAAAACAAGGTTGCGTACTAGCTCCCACACTTTTCTTCATATTCCTGTCTGTCGTGCTCAATCATGCCTTCAAGGACTGTGGAAAGGGTGTATGGATCCTGAGCAGACCTGGGGCAGACTTATTCAATGTCAACCAGTACAAGTCTGTGAGCAAAACCCAGAAGATACTAGTAAGAGAACTTATGTTCGCAGATGACACAGCATTCATTGCACACGACCATGATGACGCTCAGGAAATAATAAGTAGATTTGCTAGCTCGGCTCAAGCATTCGGACTAAAAATCAATATTAAAAAGACAGAAATGATGTATCAGCCACCCCCGAGATCTCATGATACCGGTCAAAACATCCATATTGACAACCGACAACTAGCTAAAGTGTCGAAATTCAAATACCTTGGATCCACAGTCATGAACGACAACAAGATGGATGAAAAAATCCGCATCAGGATGTCACATGCCTCCATCTCATACGGTAGATTAAAGCAGAAGGTGTGGTACAACAAAGGTCTAACCTTCAAAACCAAATGCGCAGTATATCGTGCCATTGTACTCTCCACACTGTTGTATGGTGCAGAGGCATGGTCTGTCTACAAAGCTGCAGCACGTAAACTTAACACCTACATGATGCGGCACTTGCGTCAAATTCTAAATGTTAAATGGTGGGATTTTGTCCCAAACAAGGATATCCTCGACCAGGCTAATCTACCAAGTATGTATGAACTCTTAATCCAAGAAACCTGAGATGGGCTGGTCATGTCAACAGATTGGATAACAACAGACTACCTAAACAAATACTCTATTCACAACTGAAGAACGGCTCCCGCAGCATTGGTAGACCAAGACTAAGATTTAAGGATACTGTTAAGAGAAATTTGAAGGATAAGAAGATACCCGTTGGTAGCTGGCAGCTTCACAGCAGACACAAAAGCAGATGGAGATCAATGGTTCACCGGTCGTCTTCATCGGACTCGATGGACAGCTTATAATAATAATAATAATAATAATAATAATTATACACTGCTTCCTGCTGCTGTTGTCTGAATAAATCTTCAAGTCACTGTATTATTGAACTTTATATTTGTTTTTTGACTACAGTTTATAAAATTTATTATCATTTCAAAAAAAAATCAAGGCCTTAATCCAAGACCTGTATTACGAATACAATACAGCGTTTATATATAGAATGACAATTGTTAAGTCTAGAAATAATTAATTGTTTATTAAGCGCCCTCTATAGTTTGAAAAGTGGAAAACTTGCTGGGGGTAGGCCTAGCAACGACGTAGGATTCACGCTAGCAACGTATCCGTTAGTGTTGAGGCATATAAGCTAGAATGATTGATGTGTGAAATGTTTACAAGGTTTCTGTAATAGGACAGATAAAGGGTGAGTTTTATACGAACCTATGAATATTGTATAGTTAAGATTTAATGATGATTTTGTGAGATATTAGAATTTTAAACCAAGCGTTGGTTACCGCACGTACGAACGTTGCGCAGACGCCATATTTTCTGTACACTATTATACGTATCCTAGGTCTTACACCGAGCTAAACTTTTGTACATAAATTTCACAATAAGACAGTGTTTGTATTATTAATATAACATTTATTCCATCAAAATAGGATATAGTGTTGAAATAATGGTATAAATGCATTATCGTACTACGAACAGTTCGATCGCATAACTTGATAGGCCTTGAGGAACGTCGCTGTTCATTTTCTTTCTTCACGCTTGAGTGAACACCAACATGAATATTTATTAGGTAGTCGAAGATAGGCTATTCACTATGTATTGGATGTATTATTTCGATTTTCAGCATATAGACTTTAGTATTATGAATTAATTGTATTTCAGATTTGATTTATGATTTAATAAAAAGTTATGTACAGTATAGTAATGCGGAGAGATCAAAATTTAAGGTATGGCAAGAAATATTGATAGAATCTGTATAACTATAGATAATCATAGATAATTACTACTCAATTACATACCATGTTTTATTAACTTTATGATGAATCGTTTAATTAAATCTGGATGCTTTGTAACATATCTAGGAAATTAATGAAGTGAACTTTATAGGCCAATTACTTTAAATGAGAATGTTTAATGAGCTGCTTTGTTAATTAGGCATAGCAAATGACATTATGTTGAATTATTGTAAGGTTTGTTTTTGTTTGCTTCTTATAGCAACGCCAAACTGTTCAAGAGAAGGAATTGAATAAAGTTCTCGTGTTTGAATACTCCGTCGTCTGTACAACAATGACATGACATTACTCGCTAGTTTTTCTTCTTGTTCTTTCTTTCTTTCTTTCTTTCTTTCTTTCTTTCTTTCTTTCTTTCTTTCTTTCTTTCTTTCTTTCTTTCTTTCTTTCTTTCTTTCTTTCTTTCTTTCTTTCTTTCTTTCTTTCTTTCTTTCTTTCTGTTGGCTTTTCTGTAGCGTTTCACTGATGATGAAAATTTTCGAAACTTCTAATTTCAGGATCGTGGGTTAATATCCTCTAAATTCCAAGTTAGAATGTAAGCATATGCTATTGTGTGACAGGTCGTGTTAATCTCACCTTATTGTTAAAACGGAAATCAACGGAAGATTGATATCTTGCATAATTTCTTTTGTACAAAATTACATTATATTTACGGGTCATCAAAACAATGTTGTCATTAGAGATTAGAGAAGGTCTTCACAAATCTGCCAATCATTTAATTTGTCTTACCAAGTTATCTTGTATTAGAAAAAAACATAACTCAATAATTTGAAGAGTTTCTTGAGTCTGAATATTCAGTGATGGCACCAGGGGCATGTGGAATTCCACTCACACAATGCACACAATGCACAATTAATTTAAAATGACGTGAATACGTTCTACTAACGTTCTACGTCGTCGCAAATCGAAAGGTCCCTATTGTGTTAGGATATCCGACAGTAACCACATGCAGGTACTTCATGATTTACGGATGACCATTAATTTAATGACAATGCATCTTTATTCCAAGGTTGTGAAGTATACCGCTATTAGACAATTTTGTTCACGAACAGGAAGCACTATTAGCCTCCAAAAGACAATATAAATATCACTCCAGAATACATCGGAAAAATAGAATATTAACCAAACTGCAAATTAAAATTAGATTCGATTAGCTGTCTTATTAAAAGGCAATGAAAGACAATTATGATGTTTGAAACGATCGCCTTATCTTGGTTAAGATAAAATATTACAAAAGCTAAACAGGTACAATAAAATAACAGCCAGACAGAAAACAAAAGCTTATGGACTTAATTTTTTTTTAAATGCTGACAGAAGCATTTGTGTCTACTGGGCTAAGAATTAACTATAAGGCCCCACCCACTCTTGACCGTACCCTCAATACACTGTACACAATAAAGTAACACATGATCAGATATAGTGTGATTCGGTCGTGATTTATTACGACAAAAGGCAAATGGACCGTCGCACACGATTGGTCCCTAAATTAATTTCCATAGTGAAAATTCTTAAAAAGTGGCCAACAAGCCAAGCGACAGGGTGCCGTAGCGCCACTGACCCCGAAGGGGTCAGCACCCAACGCAGGCAGCAAGGCCATGGCCAAATGAATATAGTATGAGAAGGAATTACGACCGAATCACACCTACACTTACTGTAACCATATAAATCTAGCTACTCAGCATGCGTAATTTTCAAGTTTACTTGAAACGTCATCTTAAGGTCATCTTATCAGATGCGTATGCCGAACTTTTATGTGAAATATAATTTATTAAAGCATGCCATAATCTAACCCTCTGATTTAAAGTTTATTAAAATATATGTAGGCCTACTGGAAATACCAAAATAATTATTACAGACCTTTTTTGCTGAAAACGGCCCCAGCCATCTGCTGACAAGCCTGTTTCTAATCAGCGGAGTTATCCTGTGAACCGTATCGAGGAGAATTTTGTTCACTGCGATGCCCCAGCCAGCTGCTGACAGGCACGTTTTTAGTGATGAAAACTCCCAGACCACATTAGTAAATATTTTTTTTTTAGTGCCATAAATACAAAAATAAAATAAAAGTTAATATACATAGTGTTCTGCGTAAACTGCCCCAGCCAACTGCTGACAGGCATTTTAAAGACTTAATGTATTTCGCAAACGTACAATATCGAAAGAAATAGTTTTCACTACGTAGCCCCAGCCAGCCGCTGACAGGCACGTTTCAGTGAAGTAAACTCACTGAATCTGAAATGAGTGTTGCGAGGTACAACAGGGTACCAGTAATTATTTTTGGACAGTATTGCCTGACGACGTGCTGCCCCATTCATGCTGAAATGCCTGTGGATAAGGCGTAACAACAGGGTAATCAGGACGAATTGGAGATGAAACGTTTATGAGTGTAATTTTGCCCCAACCCTCTGCTTACAGGCGTGTTTGCGAACTACACGGCGTTTTATTGTCCCAGCTAATTGCTGACATCTCAGACCAACATATGCGACATGCGGATGTAATTGCGGAAGGCTTGTGAGTTCCATCTTCCCATAGTGCGAATTTCCGCTTCGGGGTGCCCCATTTCTGCTGCCCAGGTTGCAGCTCCAATTTGAATGCCTTCAGTTTGGAGTTAACGAATGAGGGAGAAACTGGATTCCCGTCCTGTAATTAGAAATGTGGCCCCGATACATGCTTAAAATAGGCGAGGTATAGGCCTACTTCAAGAGTCCACACTGGGCAAGTGTCACCCGCCGACCTACGGATAAGGAGAGATATTGGAGGCTTCCCCCTCGATGTCTTAGAATATTTGATAGTGATACGTACCCCGATATCACAGGAGCCAGAGAGCGCATGAACACCCTTTAGCGCACGTGCCACAAGAAAGGATTTTGTGGGATTGTTTCAACTTTGGGCGCAGTGAATGTAACCGATAGCTGAGACTTGTGTTAAAATATAACGTGCAGCATAATCAGATTGGAAGAGGTGACCAATGAAATTGCATAGTTTAACATCGCTGGAAGGGGTGTTGTTGATTCCCCGCCAAGAAGTAGAGATTTCCCAGGTGCGTTTATATATTTTCTGTGAATTTGGGGAGAGGGAGGCAGCAACGACAAACCTCGCTGAAGGCGTTAAATATGTAAGAGTTCTTCTGGAACTAGCACTTGTTGCACGTTGAGGTTTGGTGCGAGACGTCTTGCTCCCTGAAATTGTGAGCGAGACAGGAGGTCAGAAATGACATTTTGTTTCCCCGGGATATGATCTGCACGAAATAGAATGTTATGTTTAAGAGACAATACTACTAATCGTCTAAGTAGGCGCATTATTATGGGATCTTTGGAGGATTTCTTTTTGATAACTGAATAATAGCCATGTTGTCACAGCGAAAAAGAATTTTTCTAAATTTCGAGTGCCAAAACGATAGGGAAAAGTTCTTTGACTGCGATTTGGTGGTGACTAAGTTGAAATGGCCATTCAAATGCAAACCATTTTTTACCGAGGACAGCTGCACAGTCGATGGTTCCTGAAGCATCAGTAAACAGCCAAATCTGGTCGGATATCAGCCAGTTGTTGTTGAGGAAGACAGATATCCCATTAAAAGATGTAAGAAATTTGAACCACATATGAATGTCACCTTGGGCCTCTCGATTCAGGTTAATGTGGTGAAAGGGGTATGAAATTTTGCAGGTTAAGTTTATAAGCCGGCGGAGGAAGGCGCGACCTGGGAGTACCACCGCACAGGCCAAATTGAGGAGGCCTATTAAAGACTGTAGTTCTCTAAGCGTCATGGTCCGGCGATTTTTCGCCCATGTTAGTTTGTTTCTATTTTTTGTAATTTCTCGAAGGGCAAACGACATTGCATGGCAACCGAATCGAGGAGTTTTTAGGGCCGATGAAAAAGAAATCGTCCAGTAAGTGAGACATTGCCCAAAACCAAAATTTATTTCCCATAATCCACTAGAAGTGCAGTACTAAATTTTTCAAAGATCTGACAAGAGCTACTAGCTCCCATCGGCAAACAACAGTCGTAAAAAAATAAACTGTCCCATTGAAATCCCAAGAGAGGATAGTCTTGTGGATTAATGGGGATGATGCGAAAAGCGTCTTGAATGTCAGTTTTAGTCATAAGGCTACCTTAACCGCATTTTTGAACTAGCAAAATAATGGTATCAATTGAATCGTAAGAAACCTGTGGATGTTCGCTTGGTATCCCCTCGTTGACAGAGCTACCCCTTGGGAAGGACATATCATGAATTACTCTAAATGCACCCGGGGAGGACTTGGGAATGACCCCTAGAGGAGAAACAACAAAACTGTCGAATGGAGGTGTAGGAAATGGACAAGCAATGCGGCACCTTTCTAGGCCCTTTGCAATATACTTAGGGATTACCCCGGGGTATTCTCGGGTGCTTTTATGGTTCTGAGATACTCCTGGAGGTGGGCGTAAAGTGCAGCCGAGGTTGAATCCAAATCGAAAACCTTTGACAAGTTCATTTCGCCGTTGTGGATTGTAGCCCTCCAAGTATTCGTTTAGACGGTATGAGTTAACGAGTGTAGGGAGTGGCTCGTTTGTTTGAGTTGTTGACACTAATGTTCTTGGATGTGGATTTGTGTTACTATTTCCTTGGGTGGGAACCGTGCTACGGGGTCTTTTGAAGCATCGCAGCTTTGGGTGGGGAGCCCGGCAGAGTTGACACACGTGCCTGTAGGGGCATGGGGATGATGTACATGGGACGCCGTTGTTGAAATCGAAGCAGAAGCGGAGGCGACGAAAACGAAAATTGTTTGTCTCTTGTGTTGATTTGGATGTGGTAGCTTTCCATTTGAGGTCATCAACCCATTTATTCCACGGTAGACCCATGGACTGACGTAACATCCTAAAGGACTCGTCATATGTACGCCACGCGCCTTCTTGGGCATGGAGGTGCAAGTCGAGTGTGTAGCTATGGTATTTGAGCAGATGTGGTGCTTGGTCTGGAATTTTCTCGATAAGTACAGCAGAGAATTTATTAAACGCCGCCACCCACTGAAGAATTGTTAACGACTGTTTGTGGGAGTTGCTCTGCTGAATGTTGATGTTGCCTGGCGCAATATTCGCAACCCAGGGATCTTCTTTAAATGATGGTAGGAGTGTTTTGAAATCTACATACTCGTTTTGCCAAATTTTGTTTTTAATTTTTTGTGGCACCATTTTTGTTAACGGAATACCGTCGATTAATTCGGTCTGTGGGTAAGGGTTTGGGTTGTTCGGGTGTGTGTTGACTATGTTGGACAGCATGTCGTCCACAGTGGTACCTTGATCGAGCGCCGTGGGGACTAACGAGTCCATGCCATGGCCATCACAGGTATATTGTGTTGAGATGCCAATGGATTGACTAAGCTGGCACCCGGCATATTGGTAGCAGACTGCTGTTTTCTTATAATGGCGTCGGCCAGTTTGTCGTAGTCAATTTCAGTGATGGCTGGTGGTTGAGCAGACGTGGTTGGTGGTGGACGGGTGACCGTCGATGACGTTGCTCTGGCCTTTCTTGCTTTTGGCATGGTGTACCTTAAAGAAATAGTAAGGTTAGGCAATGTTGTGTGTACCTTTAACAGCTGTTATATACGTGCGCGAAACCTCGGAGCTTTAACTCGTAGCAACACATCCAATATCTATCCATCGTTATATCTCATAACACTGGGTTAAAAT